GGCGCTGGATCCGGAGCGGCCAGCTCCACTTCCTAGGGGGCCGCACAGGGCGCGCAGCGCTCTCAGCGCGACACGCCCCGCAGGACTCCTCCCTCTTCCCTCCTCCCCTTCTCTCAGGAGGCGGAGATCCTGCCCGCCGCCAGCAGCAGCAGCACCACCACCACCACCACCACACACACCCACACACACACACACACACATAGGTCAACTGGTAGGCACTGTAGAACCTGAGTCTTCCAGTCTCTGGGGACAGGGCCGCCAGGGTCCTGTCCCAAAGCCTACGTCCGAGCTCGAGGTCTTGGGAGCGCGGCCACCTGAACAGCTGCCCAAGGGCCAGAGCACCGCGCAGGACCTGGCCCCCGCGGCAGTCTCACAGGCCAGAGATCGTCCCGAATGGGCCTGGGGAGAGGGAGGGAGGGAGGCTCCCACAGTACCCGTACTGTCTGGCTGCTGGCACCAGGGGGACCAGGCACTCTGAGCTGGCCCTAGGGCCTCACCTGGCCACGCCAGCCCAACTGTCCATCAAACGTGGCCCGCGGAGCTCGGAGTTGTTCTGGACCTTGGCTGGCTACTCCCCTATCCAACACCGCCCCCACAAGCACAGGCGCCTGGTTCTGCTACAACGTAGCCAAACACGTGGGAGAAGGCTCCCGCCAGTCGGGGGGCGGGGGGGGGGCAAAGTCAAGGTTGGCCAAGCCCCACCTGCTATATTAGGAAAACACGCCCTGAGGAGGGTCGTGCCTTGCTAAGAGGTGGATTTAGACATTAGCACCCATGGAATAATGGGAGCCTAGGGAGACACTCCCCAGGAGCCCTGGTGGCTACAGTGGGTGAAACGTTTGGAGCTCCAAACCTCAAAATGGGCGATTCAAACAGACCAGCCATGCTGCATCCTGAGGAGAACAATGAGGTGATGTCTCTAAAGCAGAATTGACTTAGGGGCCATGGTTTGGAGGGACACCCTCGACCCAATGGTGAAGTGCTCCTGGTAACCCAAAAGTGAAGAGTTGGACCTCAACTTCTATTCCATAAAGATTCCAGTCTCAGAAACCCTCTGGGGCTATTCTCTGCCCTATAGGGTCGCTAAGAGTCGGAATTCACTAGTCAGTAAAGGGTTAATGGAGTGCACCCCTCACCACCACCCCCCACCACCCCACACACACACTACTTATCCCCTGCCCCACCCCCACCCCTCAAGCCTCTTTCCAGAGAATGCCCCATACCTCAGGACCCAGTTTCCACTGAGCCACCAGAAAACTGGGAATGGGAGTGCTTCCCACCTTCCAAGTTTTGTCAGATTCCATTAATGAGTGTTTTTGAAGCTCCCAGGGCTCTTTTGGGGAACTTGTCATTACTGTTGTTATTGTTACAATCTGCTTTAAGAGGTCAGGGTGAGAAGTGCCTCAGACACCTCGGAGTGTGCTGGGAACCAGGCAGATAAAAGGGGCTGGGCCTTATTATTTGGCTAGACTCTCCATTCCCATAAAATTACATAGGGTGAAGATATGAGCCATCATGGCAATTATCGTGCTCGTGGGGTTTGCAGAGCCTTCCTTGCTGCTGTGTGGAAGCCACATGGACACGCTTGCCTATGAGGCGTCACAGGTCACAGGAAGCAGTGCGACTGTCATTTTGAAGGCCCACTGTAGCCACTTGCACATTTTCATGAACTTGGGGAGCGCCGCATAGCGTCAACAGATTGCGACTGTTCCTGAACGGGGACTTCACATTTCTGTGGGCTGGCAGAACCCTCTGGAATGAGGAGAGCCATGTTCCTCAATATGCACATGCAACTGCAAATGGATTCCACGCCATTCAGGAGGGGATTTCAAATCATCCTGATCTCCTTCACAGGCGTAAGCTTCAGCTCTTCCAGGCACGGCTAGGACCTGGCCTGGCACTTCCAACGTGCATTGATTGATGCATTTACTTAACGATGTTCTTCACCGAGGAGAATTTGATCTGCGATGCAACCCACATTAATAATAAAGAAATCCAGTGATCATAAGAGGAAAAGGAGGGGTGAGGTGGGGGAGGATCATCTTTTCACCCCACGTCCTGGGGGAACTCATTCCTCACCCACCCCTCCCAACCTCCACTGGGATTCACCTCCTGCTTTTCCTCTCCAGTAACCAAAACTGGAGCCTTTTGCACCAGAAACAGTAACCTCTGGCTAGAAACGGATCTGGACAAGTCTGAACTTCACCACACGAGGCAGGAACCCCAGCCCTGCTCGGAGGTGGCTCCCACATCAAAGCCGCCTTTCATTTAAATACAAACAGGGAGAACAACTGGCAATCTACTACCAAATACCACGCCAAGGGAAGCTTTGCAGATGGCCTCCGAGCACCCCCTCCCCTCCCTCCCCCTAGCTGAGCCCCCTAGTGGGAGGCACCTACTCTGTCCATTCTGCCCATTCATTCTCTGACGGGATTGGGGCTGCCGGCTGAAGAGGCAGGAATTTCCAACACACTGACCCGAATATGGCCCGACTTTCCATCAGCAGAAATCCGCATACAAGTTACCATTTGAACCGTTTGACAGTGGACCCTTGCTTGGCATTTCATACAGCCCCAGTGTCCTGCAACCATCACCACGATTTCATTCCAGAACATTTGCAGCAGCCCCAAAGCAGACGCTCCCCCTCCTCCCCTCTCTCAACCCTAAGCAGCCCCTGTTCTTCCTTCTGTCTATGGATTCGCCTATTCGGAGACCATCCTATGGCTTGGCATTCCGCTTGCCCATCTTGGCTGGCTTGCTTAATCTCCACTTTTTATGGGGTGGGAGGTGGGGGAGAGATGGGCTGAAAATACACCCTGCACAAACATTGCCACTTCAGCACAGCCAAGAAAACCCATTCCCAAATGAGATGATAGCCACGTATCCCACTGCCCAACCAGTGGATTCGAACTCAGAGGGATCCTCTCCAGGGTTTCCGGGAGCTTTAAATCTTTATGGGTGCAGAGCACCTCCTTTTTCTCCTGAGGACTTGCTGGTTGGTTTGAACCGTCAATCTTGCTATTATCCGTCCAATGTGTACCCAAGAGGGTCACTAGAGCTCTACATCCACAGATAGAGAAGTTAGGATTTGCAGCATATGTTGGGGAGGCGGGGAGACACAATTCAATCCCTAGCGCTTGGCTTCACCCAGCGAAACATTTCTCCTAATGCAGCCCTGGCGGCCATTTGATGATGGGCAGAGGGAGAGGAAAATGAAGCCCAGGCTGCTCTCCTCTGAGCCAAGGGCAATTTAATCTGGCGCACTCTGAGCTTTGAGGGCACATCCTTTGGCCTGCTGAGGATACCTTACCCAGGGTGCCCCTTAGCGGAGTAGAGACTAGAAGCTGGCTTCCTCCCTTGCTTACAATTGTTGGCCTGCAGCCCTTCAATTGCATCCCTTCTCCTCAAGGCCATCAGCGTGAGCCTTTGACAGCATCAAGTAGACCCGTGGTTCTCAACCCTCCTAATGCCTCGACTCTCTCAGACGGTTCCTCATGTTGTGGTGACCCCCCCCCCCCAACCACAAAACTATTTTCATTGCTACTTCATAGCTGTAATTTTGATACCGTTATAGATAATAATGTAAATATCTGATATGCAAAGGGGTCGAGACCACAGGTTGAGAACCACTGAAATAGTATCCCCACGCCCCGCCTACTTACATCTGTGGCTCCCCATTACTTTCCAGAACAAATCCCCAGTCCATCAGTAGCCCTCTGTTATCTACCATGAACTGCTTTCGCCACATTCTTCACCAACTCTTCTGTGTTCTGGCCCTGCCCCACAACACCACCCCATCATCGTTTCCCATCATGCGCGGGACTTCCTACTGCCAAGCTCTGTGCCTGCTAGGAAATGCCCTTTTATTCCCCTTCACTCCTTGGAAAACACCTCTATATTGACTCTTCAAGGCTCTACCAAGATGTCACCTCTTCCAGAGAACCTTCCAGAAAGTTGCTCCCACGTCAAAGTGCTGCCCCCAAAATGACTCCCATACTTGCCCCCTCAGCACAGGTCATGCTTTCTCAGAAGACGCCTTCCACCCCCAGCCTCCACGAGTTACTTCAGACTTTAGCTTGAGTTGAACACCTATTGCCTTTAAGGTGCATGGTTACGAGATGGGCAATTTCCCAAAGGACTCAGTCACCTAGGTCAGCACTTCTCAACCCGTGGGTCGAGACTCCTTTTGGGGTTGAATGACCCTTTCACACAGGTCACCCAAGACCATCAGAAAACATATATTTCTGAAGGCCTTAGGAACTGAGACACCGCTCCTCGATCCATCTCCAGGTGGGTCCGCCCACATGCAGATACGCCTACATAGGAGTACTGTTACCCATGCCACACCATGCTTCAAGACAAAATTTCATTTATCTGTCATTAGAAAGAAATAGTTCACAATATGTAATGATATATTGTTTTGTGATGAATCACTATGCTTTAATTATGTTCAGTTTGCAACAATGAAAATACGTAACAGTAGCAAAATGACAGTGATGAAGTAGCAACGAAAATAATTTGATGGTTGTGGGGGGGGTCACTAAAACATGAGG